AGATCCGGGCTCCACGCAGACCCCCCGGGGACCCGGCCCTCGCGGGCTTTCGCGAGTGAGGCGCCGGGTCTAACGCGGCTGCGGACGAAGTTCAGGCCGGTGGCTGGCGCTGCAGTGCCAACATTCGGCCAGAAGATGGCAGTATGGCTCCACGCAAGAGACGCCCGCGCCGCCATCTCCCGCCGCCGCGACCCTGGAAGTTCCTAAGATGTCGACTTGACGCGAGCCTTACTGGAATGGGAGATTTTAGCGGTGGTGTATGGTTCGTGCTGCGCACGCTGGGATGCAAGCTTCGCTAGGAAACAAGGAAGCGGGGCGGGGGCTCTCGTGACCTGCACCCTCCGGTTCCCCTCTACCCTATTCCGGGGGCCTAGCGCTGCGGGACGGCAGCCCCAGGCGCGGCGGTCACCGTGCCCAGCCCCGGATAAGCCTCGGGGCAGCATGAAGCTCGGAGAACCCGGTTAACCTGCGGACAGACACAAGGACTAAGGCCTACAGCCCCAGGACCTGGTGACCCCCATCCCCACCCCCGGAGAGTGTGCAGAGGGCTCACACCTTGGCCAAGGGTCCTTCCTTGTCCCGGGAGATCCCCAAAGGCTGTGCCCTGATACAGGGTCCGAAGAGCCAGCACCCGCAGGCGAGCCAGAACCCCGGGACTCGGCCACCTTGAATACGTGACGAAATCAGGTGGCTGAAACCCCGGCTTAGTAAAGGCATTTCTGACGACTAGTGTGGGTCTGGTGGCTGAGTTGCTCGGGATGGGGAATCCTTGGGGGCAGACTAGGAAATGCTTTAGTTATTTTAAAATAAGTGTGATACTTAATATAACATTCTAGCTGAGGGATAAGAGGTCACGTCGTGAAAGTTGTCCTGCTTTCTCTCGCCGCTGAATTCCCTCGGCCGTGGAGGTCCCGAGGTATTCTGCCGTCCCCTGCTCAGGAAGCCAGGAGGAGGGAGGGGACCCCAACCCAGGCACAGCCTATCCTCGACCCTGGGCGGGGAACACGCCCCGGAGCCTTCCAGGAGGCTCCCTGAGTGCGGTGCGAGGATCGGCCCCAGGTGCAGAATGGTTTCAGAGGGAAAACGCAAAAGCGAACAGAACCCTTCGAAGCACCGCGGAGCCCCGTGAACACTCCACGCGAGGCATTTATTTGGGTCGTAATAGTCTCTGCCAAGCCCACAAAATGTTTACAACCTGCATCTCCATGCTGTACACGCTGTAAAACTGGGGACTGGATTTTGGCTGACATCTCTCTCTCTCTCTCTCTCTCTCTCTCTCTCTCTCTCTCTCTCTCCTCCTTTTTTCTGTTTATATAAACACGTTGGTATTACAGACATACACCTTCGTTATATTTCCTTACATAGTACACAATATTTCACAGCTTCTGATTGTCAGAAGGGCTTTATAGCTTCCTGAGAGCCGTCCGTAGCCACGTATCCAAGCGGCAGATAGAAAGCTCGGTTTATGTAACTACGAATAAATGGCAAAGGAGCAGATCGGTGGCTACTGCTTCTCTCCGCAGGTCGCGGAGGCCTCAGGTAGGTACAGGCCGGCCGGGATCTCAGAGGCTTCACGGGCCGCCAGGCGGGGCCTCGCTTGCCCTTGGCCTGCGGGCGGCCGGGAGGCGGTTCTCTCTGCGCGGCAGCCTAGGACCCGCTTCCCCGCACGCCGCCCAGACAACACCCTGAGCCAGCCCGAGCTCCTTTGAACTCGTTGTTGATGGTTTGTCCCGGCACCCCGACCAAAGACTGCTCACGGATGGAGAACCGACGCGCAGGTCGTGCGAGGGGCACCGGCGGACACGTTGAGAGAAGCAAGCCGCCAGCCGCCGGACTCCTGGCCGCCTTCCTCCGCTGCCCTGAGACCTGGGTTTACATTCCTAGCTGGATTTACATTTTGAGCACTAGTTGGTACCATGAAGCAGGGGAAACACATTATGCTTGGTAGGTAGGAAACCAGACCCAGGAAAGCAGTGAACGTTGTCTTTAAAGACAGCTGGGCAGATGAGAACCCCGCCTCAATGTGCCGGCTCCAGGCTAAGCGTCAACGAGTATTTCTGTAAATGATATCATATATAACCTAGTGCATTGGTGTCTTTTCAACCAAATAAGTAGGAAAGCAATGGCTTAAGAACACGCGATTAAAGAGGCCTTACTGAAAGCCTGACTTTGGCCTTCTCGTTTTAAAACCCTGCTACAGAAGGCAGGAGGAGAGAGAGAAACTCAGAAACGAAAGAGAGCTTTCGGCGCCCGGGGCACTCGGGTCCAGAGAGGCCGAGGCCTTGCGAGCCGTATCTGGATCCTCCCCGGCCCAGGTGGAGGGGCAGCGCGTCCTGCTTGGATCCCTCCGACCTGCGGGAGACAAAACCCGGCAGGGACGGGCTGTGGCGCGGACTCTCAGCGTTTTTGGCCCAGACCGAGTTCCTTCCCGCGCTCCTCGAAATCGCTCCCTGAAATCGGTCTGTCGGGTCGCCTCACTCAGGGCAGGTTCCACTTTAAACGCCATCGCCATCGGCCGCTCCGGCCACCCGAGTCCAGACAGACGGCGGCAGCGGCGGGCCGGGGTCTCCCTCTTTGCACCTTGCTTCGTGTCACTCGGGGAACAATTTATTGGTCTAACGCTGTCTCATTCCTCTTCTTTGATCTCCTAGCGTCCTTCTTGTTTGTTCCGTCTTCCTTTAACTTTCTTAGGTTACTATTTCCTGCCCGAAAGTGATAATATTTAGAATATTTTTTTCCCTTCTCTTTTCGCCTCCCTCCCCTGCCCCCGCATTCCTCAACCAAAACAGCTATCATCCTGATCCACCATAAAGGGCATCCCGGATATTGCGCCCCCCATGGCTGCTGTACCTCCAGGGGACACCACCCTGGCCCCACCTGCCCCGACAGCCCCCACCTCCCGGTCCACGCCCTGGGCCGTCCACTAGGCCAGAGCTGGGGCTCCGTTGCATCCGGGTTTAATCTCTCCCGCCGTTGCCTTTTGTGCTTTTAGGACCCCCCACCCCACCCCAGAGGGTGCGGTGAACCGGGGCGGCCTGGACCTTCTGAAAGTGATGGGAAGTGCTTTGTACACGAGGAACCAAACTCTATAATTTAGAGGAGAATTTCCGGGGCAATTCCATTGTGAGGTCGGGTTTATGGTGTGCAATCGAGCTGAGCAGTAAAAGATATACTGACCTGGCTGCCAGGCTTCTAGTGGGGCCTGGGCAGTTTATGAGGCTTTAGGGGAAGGCTTCGTCCCATCACCCTCCAGGGAGCAGTGGGCCACAGGGGCTTTGGGTGTTCCAACCCTGCGCCCGGGAAGGTAGGCTCTAAGAGTTGGGGGCCAGGATGGGAGGGAGGGAGACTATTATGCGCTCTACTCTCTGCGAGCTCGTGCTTGGAAAGGTGAAGCCACCAGAGCTGGGTGGCTTTTTGGGAGGGGGTCTCCCTATTTGTCTTTGGGGTCTCGAAAAGAAATGGAAATCCAGAGTGGGCTGCAGTCCCTAGGCACCTGCCCCCCCCCCAAACTGTCTGTAAAGCATGTATTGCTCCCCAGCACTCAGGACCACGAGAAGCTGCAGAGGTCCAGGGATGGCAGGAGTGAAGGTTACAAGAAACCTCAGGACACCAGGGGTACCTGGCAAGGTGCAGGGCCTGAGGTTCCTCCCAGCTCGGGGAAAGAGACTTGGTTCCCCTTCAGCTAGGGAGAATCAAAGGTTGCCAGGGGGACAAAAGAGTGTCCAGCCATTTCTCGGGCTGCCAGAGGCCAGTCAAGTGCTCAGGAGGGAAAGCATAGAATTTCAGGGGCCAGCGGTGTCCAGGAGGAGGGAAGGGAATCTCACGTTAATAAATCTGTTGGCAAATGAGGCTCATTAATAGATAAATATTTCACTGCTTCCTTTAGGGCGGATAAACAGTGCGCCACTGATTAAGGAAAGGAAGCCCGAAGACCTTGACTTTATTCGAACCACATGGTTCCAGTTTGCTGTGGCGTTCTCGCTGCAGCTGGAAGCGACGCTGCGTCGGCCCCATCTGGATGGGCGTCTAAGTGGGCCAATCTCCCACCGGACCCGGGCGGGAGGAAACGCGGGCAAAGAGTTGATCTACCCAGAGCAGGGACTTGCCCGCTGGGCCACCGTGAGGCGCGCGATTGCAGGCAGCGCGGAGACCTTCCCTGGGCTGGGTCAGCGGGCAGAAGAGGGCAGGGAGGACCCGCAGGCTTTGGTCCAGGGTTCGGTAATAGGCAAGAACAGACTGTGCCGGCCAGCACCGCGCGGCCTCTGCAGGCCAGGCGTCCAGGTTGGCGGCGGGCTGAGCGCTCCCCCAGAACCTGGGGTCCTCCCGCAGGACGCGCCTGGCCAGCCCGCCGCGGACAGATTCGTTGGACACATTTGAGCCTCTTCCCCTTCCATTCTAGGCTGCCGCGGGCCCCGCGGAGAGAGACCACCTGTGAGGGCTGCTGAGATTGGCGGAGGCGGTCATGTGGGTGGTCACGTGCTGCGGCGAGCTCCGTCCAAAAGAAAATGGGGTTTGGTGTAAATCTGGGGGTGTAATGTTATCATATATCACGCTACCTCGTAAAACCGACACTGAAAGCTGCCGGACAACAAATCACAGGTCAAAATTATGAGTTCTTCGTATTATGTGAACGCGCTTTTTAGCAAATATACGGCGGGGGCTTCTCTGTTCCAAAATGCCGAGCCGACTTCTTGCTCCTTTGCGCCCAACTCGCAGAGAAGCGGCTACGGGGCGGGCGCCGGCGCCTTCGCTTCGACCGTACCGGGCTTGTACAATGTCAACAGCCCCCTCTATCAAAGCCCCTTCGCGTCCGGCTACGGCCTGGGCGCCGACGCCTACGGCAACCTGCCCTGCGCCTCCTACGACCAAAACATCCCCGGGCTCTGCAGTGACCTCGCCAAAGGCGCCTGCGACAAGGTGGACGAAGGCGCGCTGCACGGTCCGGCTGAAGCTAATTTCCGCATCTACCCCTGGATGCGGTCTTCAGGTAGGCGCCGCCGCCAGGCGGGCCGGGTGGGCGGGCGGACTGGGAGCGGGGAGCGTGGGGCTTCGCAGCTAGGCGCGGGGAGCCAGGCGGCAAGCCGGCGGCCCCTTGACTCCTGGCGGCGCTGCCTTTCTGGTTTTAATTAGAGCCGAGGCGCCATAGCGTGGAGAGCCCATAGCATTGTATGTAAATGAGGCTCATAAAACTTTTTATGGCCCAATTAATGGGTTCAATCCTCGTAAATTTATTTAACTCCATTTGCCTTGGAATTTTAACATTAAGTTTGTTTGTTCTCTATTCTCTCTCTCTCTCTCTCTCTCTCTCTCTCTCTCTCTCTCTCTCTCTCTCTTCCTCGCTCCCTTTCTTCTCTCTCCCTCCCTCCTCCTTTTCCTTTCAGCCTGGCTCTTCTTTCTCAAAAGCAGGGAGAGCCTAACCCTTCAGGGCCCGTCACAAGCCCCTGTGCCAGGGGCCATTTAAAGGCTGGGGTGGAGAGCAGGAGCGGGAACAGGGGTCGGAGCGCCCTAAGAAGGTCCGCAGATGGGGCGCTGGCAGCTGGGGAGGGAAGGCGCCCCTGGGGTGCGGGCCGTCAGAGGGTCGAACACTTGCCTAGCCAGGCGGGGAAACGGCTCGGCTCGTCTTTGAATGGCAAAAGCGCAGCGTCTCCCACTTGCCCACACTCTATATTTACAATTTCCCTTTGTCAAGGGGAAGCGGGACATTGTGGAAACCTAGCCGGCTGGAAAGGGCGGTTGTAAAGTTGGTATTCTGCTCCTTCCCTCCTCACGGAGCTGCCTGCGCGTCTGGCACCGCAGTTGGGGGTCTTCCTCTACCATTCCCGCTCCTCCTCCAGATCAGTCCCGGGGCGCGGGGTGGAGGGGGCTTCGAGCCGGGTCAGGGCCGGGAGGAAGGTGCGAGCTCTGGCACCGCGGTCTGGCTAACGCGCCGTCCTGTCTATGTCCCTGTCGGCTTGTCTGTCCGCGTGTCTGTGTGTCCATATGTCTGCTTGCAGGGCCCGACAGGAAGCGGGGCCGCCAGACCTACACGCGCTACCAGACGCTGGAGCTGGAGAAGGAGTTCCACTTCAACCGCTACCTGCCCCGGCGCCGCCGCATCGAGATCGCCCACGCGCTCTGCCTCACCGAGCGCCAGATCAAGATCTGGTTCCAGAACCGCCGCATGAAGTGGAAGAAAGAACATAAGGAGGAGGGTCCGGCCGCCACCGCAGTCCCCGAGGGCGCCGTGCCGGCCACCACAGCGACTGTCGCTGCCGCTGACAAGGCCGACGAGGAAGAAGACGATGAAGAAGACGACGACGATGACGAGGAATGAGGGGCCGAGCTGGGCCCTTGGCTGCACCAGACAGTCGGGAAAGCGTCTTTAGAGACTCATCGATTTTATTTACAAAAGTGGAAAAAAATAAAAAGAAAATGTAAAACAAACAAACAAACAAACAAACCCAGTACCCAACCTGTACCCCATCTACCCCTTTACCCACTCCAGCTCCCAACTTTCCTGGACTGAGCAGCCATTAGACTGAGCCCCCTTGGGGATCCCCTCTGCCTCTGAGGACCCCCAGAAGACACACCCCCTCCACCCAAGGCCGGCTGGCTCTGTGCTGGCATGGCTAAAATACTACCTAGCACAGGCCTCAGAGAGAGGCACCCCCAAACTACCTATGGGCCCAGCCCCAGCGGGCCTCCACTCCCAGGAAGCCCAGACCTGTCCCAACACTGGTATACCCAGCACCTCCCCCATAATGTCAAGGACCTGACTCTCTCAGTACTACCTACTTGTCCCAAACTACCTATTTTATGCTTGCTGGCTCGTCTGCTACCTAGTGCCAGCCCCTCCCAGGCCAGGCCCCTGCTGCTTGCGGCTGGCAGCCTTTGGAGTCCCTGAGGCTGCGCTGAGAAGGTGCTGAGGTCCGGGGACCAGGGCATTGGCTTCTATTTAAATTGAAAAATAATATATTTATTCCAAAGCATTCTAAGTGCTGCAACCCAGAATCCCTCCTCCTCTGGCCTGGGCACCCCAAGTTCAGGCCCATTACCCCCTACTTCTGGAGGGGAGCATTCCCAAGCTAGCTTCAGATCTCTTGAGTTAGCTTCTGCTTAGTAGGACTGCAGAGATGCTCTCAGCTTCCCTGCTCCCTCCCCGGACCCTGTGTCCTACTGCCCAGCCATGTTGAATATGTACACCCTGACTTTTCCTACAATAGCAAATATTGTATATTTGAACAAGATTTTTTTTTTTTTTTGTCATTTATATAGTCTTGGAGCTCATTTGTAAGGCAATGTCTTGACTTGGGAAGGATGTGTTAATGGTGTGACTTTGTAGCATGGTGTGTTGTCTTGAGCTAACTCCATAGCTGGTGGGGACCGTCTATGTCCTCCCCAGTGCCCTTCATCTCCTGTGTTGTCCTGTGTCCCCCTCATCCTTCTCGGCTCTAGCCTGGGGTTCCAGGAACGTATGCTTCCCATCTTGCCCCGCCAACCATGTTTTATGTAACAGAAAAATAAAGATGCTTGGTGACAAAGAAACGTAGACTACTTTATCTTGGGGAACCTGGGGGAGAGGGTGAGCATGGCTGGAGAGCAAGCCCTGGCTCTGTGTGTGTGTGGGAAGACGCTGTAGGGAAGCAAATGTAGAAGGACACATAGGATGCAAGTGTTGGGTGTCCATGAATTGGTGTGTATGCATGTTGTGTCTCTTTTTATGTAGATTTTTAATGTGTGGATTTGTATAGGTTTATGTACCTTTTTTTGTACGTGTATTTCTGTGTACATTTGTGTGCATTTTTACATGAATCCATAATTGTATTTCTGTGTCCATAATTGAATGTATGTGTTTCTGTGTGCCAAAATTGTATATGTGCATTTCTGTGTGAATTTTGTGTGTGTGTGTGTGTGTGTGCACAAACATCTTACAAATCCCTTGAAAACGGAATCTTTGATGGATACATTATATTCCATGAACCTTCCTAAAACCTTCCATGAAATCCAAAAACTGCTCTTTCCTCTAAGGCCGTGGGGTGGGTTTGCAAAGGGGTATCAACCTGAGACCGATCCCGAATTCTCCATGAGCCCTGAACCTGGCGCCTGGCTAGGAGGTGAAAATCCGGGCCTCTGACGCAGCCCCTCCCCCTCCCCCCATTCAGGCTAAGTGAGAGAGCCCCAGGGCCCAGCTCTGCAGCTGAGGGGTGGGAGAAGGGGCAGGGGCCCGCAGACCCGGGCTGCAAGCCTCGGCGGGGGCGTCTGGGTGCGGGGAAGGGGCTGGGAAAGGGGCAAAGGGAGGTGGGGACAGCGCGGAACAGCTTGAGCTCGGCAGGCGAGGACCTCGACTCCAGTCTCCTGCCAGGGCTGGGTTCACTTCTTCTTGCTCTTTTAATAAAACACAGCCCAACTGGGTCTGTAAAACCTGCGGCCCCAAGTCGGGGCGGCCTCCGTGGTAAGATGGCGCCGGTGTAAGAGCTGCCTCCTCTTAGAGATGGGGAAAGGGTCATAAATCCGTTGTTGTTTATGAAAATTTACAACTTTGCAATACAACTTTATGAGTTGTTCAGCCCTTCCATTGGCCGCTGTCGGTCATGTGGATGGGAACCGTGAACATGAACTTTTTTATAATTTCCCTTGCGAGAATAGAGCCGCATTCTTTTGCTCTGCACAGTCCTGCCTGCTTCGGAGCTCTGCCTTCCACCCTGGCTCGGCTGCGCTTTGTCCGGCGATGGCGAGCGAGACGAGGCCTCGGGCCGGCCCGGCCCAGCCGCTCCCGCTGGAGGTGGGGTGCGCCGAGTTCCCCGCGCCAAGGCGGCCGCTTTGCAACTCGCAACCTGGCTAATTTCCTGCGTCCTCTGGCACCAGGAGGGAGGACAATTCGTCTCCCCGGGCTGCCCAAGCGACAGCTGTCAGAGGAGCAGGAGCTTCTGGGAGCCGCCATCTGAAGGTGAGACATGTGGGGGGGGAGACAGGAGCAAAGGTGGTGAGATGGCAGTCGGCGGCGCGGCGGTGGGAGAGGGCACCCAGGCCGGCTTTGAAGAGGGGCATCCTCCCTGTCACCCCCACTCACCCGTTCACATTCGCTCCCATCACCCACTTCTTG